GACAACGCACTCAAGAGAAAGCCTCAGGCCAACCCAGTCCACCTTCCAAATGGACCCAGATGTAGTGCTCCCTGCCTGCGAGAGTGGCCTGAGCTCAACAGAGACATCTCGGGCCAGAGGGGAGAGGAAAGGGATTGCTTGTAATTGCACGGATGACCGAGGAATTCCTGCCAGCCCTGGTGAAGCCCAGCTCTTGTGAAGGGCTGTTCTCGCCAGCAAAACATTTCATGAGCCCTTGCTGCTGCCAGCAACCGGAGGGCGTCCTGAAGCTGGCTCGGCTTGAAAACCCAAACTGGACTATCCCCTCAGAGAGGGGACAAGTGCAGCCCCAAGGGGACAGGCTCACAGAGACAAGTGACATCCACCCACAGGGACCTCTGCCAAAGGGGCTGTTCTCGGGCACAGCATGCAGGACCAGAAAGCTCCTGGCACAGGCTCCAAACCATGCCATCCTGGTCCCTCTGCAGCGGCTCAGCTCGGGGCCTGAGTCTTCAGGCCCCGTCTACCCCATACTCTCTGACTCCGGGAGGGCTCCTGGCCAGCTTCCTATGCGTTTGGTTCTGTCTTTATTCTGGGCGTTGGTTGGGCTCTAGATGGGTGAGCAGCCCCTCCCGGCAACCCCTCCTCCTTGCCAGTTCACCACGTCAGCTTGGTTCCCCGGCCCCACAGAAGCAGGCCACTATAGCTCCCCAGAATCTAGGTGGCACGTCCTAAGGGGCTGAGCCCCACCAACCTCGGAGGGTTCCCCAGGCCGATAGGTCAGCTTTCCTAACGACACAGAACGTCCTGGGCTTATGGGCTGTCATCTTGGCTCCCTGCTCAGCCGGTCTGCAAAGCCATACTCAATGATCCTCATGTGCTTCTGGGAGACTGTGGTCTCCACCGGGAGCCAACTTGACCTTGAGGAGAGTGACCTCTGACAGGGAAGCTGAGAGGGAAGCTGGGCGGGGTGCCCTGGGGCCTGGAGCACAGAGCTTGGCCCTGGCCAGCTTGGCCTCTGCCCAGGCCCCTGCCCTGGACACAATAGAGAAGGCCCTTCCTTGAAAGCAGTTTTGTAACCAGAAGTAAGAAGCTGTCCATTTGCTTCTCAAGGCAGACAAAACCAGGGAGCAGGGACGCGACCTATGAAACTGTCAGTTCCAACTCAGGCTGGCCCGGTGTGCACAGAACTGCTCTTCATGGGGTTTCTGAAGAAGGCCACCAGGCCTTTCTTCTGAGGCTCCCCTGAGTGGACTTGAACCACCAACCTGTTCGTTCATAGTCCCTTTGTGTCACTCGGGACTCTACTTACAGGGTAGCTTGCCTGAAGTTTCTAATCAGAGTCAGATCATGGACTGGATTCAAGGCCTGTGCTACTCACTGCCACGGAGTCCGTCCGACTCATGGCGACCCTGCAGGACAGGATAGTGCTGCCCTGAGCGTTGCCAGGACTGTCACTCTGCACAGAGCAGAAAGCCTCGCCTTTCTCCCTCAGAGCTGGCTGGTCATTCCCAACTGTTGACCTTGCAGTTAGCAGCCCAATTTGTACCCCTCCCCCCCACTTAGTATGACTATCAGTCAAAAGAGAAGACAGAGATGAAGGATTCCGTGGGTAGGAAATTCTTCAGGACAAAGAACTCCGCTTCTTCCACACATCAGTGGCAAGGGAACCCCAAAAGATGAGAAGGTACTTTAGAGGCTTGTCAACAAAACATGGTTTCTAGCCCTGTTTGGACCAGATTTAAACAAACCAAGTGAAAAGACTACTCCTGTTTGAGACAATCCAAGAAATGAATGCAAACGATTGGTCATTATAAATGAGCCTACTGAATTATTATAGGATACCATTGTTGAAACACCATCTATATGAGCTTTAAACATCCAAGCCTCACTTCAAGGCCCCGGGGTGGTGAGAGCGGTCTGCCGCAGAGCGCGAGCAGGAGCCTAGTGGCTGACACGCACCCCGTGGTGCATGAAGGGAAGGGCTGGCGACCAGCTTCCCGGTGAGGGCACCCAAAGCCACCCTGTAGGACTCAGTGCCTCTCAGGTCAAATCGGGGCCCCCAGGAGCGCAGCCTCCCAAAGGCAATGGGTTGGGCTTGGTTTTTATCTGCATCATTGATCACTTGGGAAGTTTGGGAGGCCTGGTGGCCTGGTGGGCTACCCACAAGGGCAGCTGCTCAAATCCACCCGCCGCCCAGAGGGAGAAACCTCCGCAGGGGCAGTTCTGCCCTGTCCTGGAGGGTCGCCATGCGTCTCGGAGTCGACTTGGTGACAGTGAGTTTTTAGGGTTGACAATAGTATTGTGGGACTTTTTGGTTTTGCCTTAAGGAGCCTTATTTCTGGAATACTCTCTGACGTCTTCGGAGGAGACGATCCACTGACTGGGCTTTGCCTTACATTTAAATAAAGACTGAAGCCAGGGACTGGGGGGTGAGTGTGCCTTATGCTCGCTCTGCTTCTGCCTAGGGCAGCATTTTTGCAGAACAGAGCATTTCATTGAACAACCCAAAAACAGTGTCCGAAGAACAAAGAAAAGGCCTGTTTTTCATTCCTGGCTCTGGTACCGACTCCCTGTGGGGTCCTAAGCAAGCCTTGACCTCACTGAGTCTCAGTTTCCTAAATGGGTTCAAGTCCTGGCTCTGCCCCTCACTGGCGGTGTGACCTTGACCAGGTTCCTTAACCTCTCTGGGCCTATGAGGGCTCATTGGTACAACACACGTAATTACAGTCCTCCCGCCTGGGACCGCTGGGAAATATTTTCTGAAACTCCTGCTATGGCTATTGGTGCTGACATGGTTTATTTTATTTTTGTTACGTGACCAGGAGGAAGAGATGACCCCCCTGGGGATGCTGCCTCCTCTCTAAGAACACCAACCTTCCTGGGGAACCCCACCCCCGATTTTCACGCTGCTCACTTGAGGTCCACAGGACCGTAGCCCACCATCCCCCTCCTCCTGGGAATGACTGGTCTAGACTCCCTTCCTTGACTTTTCTCAACGTTTCTCCTGTATGCCACCTCTGTGCCTGGGAGGAGCTGTGGGGACACTCCCCTGTCTCGCTCTCCCCCTACCATCCTGCAAAAGGCCCCTGCTGACAATGCCCAGAGGGTCTGTGCAGGGCCTGAGGAAATGGAGGGGCGGGGTGGGGCAAAGGGAAGGAAGAAAGAACTTGGACATATGAATGCATAATGCTGGACCCTTTGGAAATGGACGGGCCCGCTGCCAGACCTCGCGAGAGCTCCTAGATTGTATTGTTTACACAAAGGACCAGTCTGCAGGCCCTGCGTCCCCCTGTGCCAGGTTCACGGCCACAAACTGCATGATGTCACAGGGACCAGGGATGCCAAGGGCTCCAAGCCATTGCTCGTCCTCAAGGGCACTGGGATCCTAGGGAGAGTCTGTGGGAGGGAGGGGACACTTCCCAGCAGTGTTATCCAAGGGTGGGGCTGCCCGGGACACTGGGGAGCACAGCTAACACCCCGACCATCTAACCCTGGCCCCAAAGCTAGAGTGCCTTGCAAGTGTCGTCACACCCCAAACCAAAATGCGAACCTAATGCCAGGGGGTTGATTTCGACTCACAGTAATCAACGCAAAACTACCCCTTTGGGTTTCTGAGCCTGTACGTCTTTATGGGAGCAAACAGCCTCCTCTATCCCCATGGGAGCACCTGGTGCATTCGAACCACAGACCTTGAGGTTAGCAGCTCACAGCGTAACCCACTACACCACCAGGGCTCCCCATGACACCGCAGCCTCACTTAATATGCAGGCAAGTGGGCAGGTCTTCTCTTCCACAAGCGTTATCACCTTATCTCTTTCTCTCTGCATGTTCTTTTGGCGTCCTTTCTACCTGGTGGGAGCTGTCATGCGATGCAGTGGGGAAAATGGAGCCACTGGGATGGCCCTCCTACCTCTGTGAAGAGTCTAGAGATACAGATTGGTAAAGTCCTGTCCAATTATAATGGTCTAGGGCTCTGCCGCATTATAAGGCAGCATCTCCTCCACCAGAGCTTCGGTGCGAGGCCTGATGGGTCCCCCACTGTTGCTCTGTGCAGCAACGCAGCCAGCCTCCTGCATTCACTCTTGCGCGGTCTCTTTCTTCCTGCCTCGCCCTGGCTGGCACACTAACTTTGGGAGCTGGGTTCAAGTGGTCCCACCTTCCCTTGGAGCACAGGGCACTTCCTTGCATATTCTTTGCACATGCCCAAATGGAAATGCATGTCCGGAGCATGAACACCCCGCAGGCCCCCCTCTAAGACAACAGCACCACCTTGCCAACAGTTGCCAAGAGCCCTGGCACTGGATCAACACCAAGTTCACTGGCTGGGCCAGTAGTCTCCCAATCGCATGAGCAGCAAGTCTTCACACTTCCATTTGTCTTTCTGCGCAGCATGTCCTTGTAAGGTCTCTGATTTTACCTATGCTCACACACAGCCAACCAAACACTGGCCAACCAAACACCGGAACTCACTGGGTCCCACTCTTGGCCAACTCCTGGGGCCCCATGGCTGTGAAGTCTCCTTCCTCTCAGGGGCTATTCTTGTCATGCGTCCCCATCTGTAAGGCGCCTCCTGGCCAGGTGAGCACTTGGCTCCCAGTTAACCTTTAGGGCGTCTGCTGTTACCGGAGTATATGTGCCACTCCTAGGGGTGGGAGTAGGGGGGGCTTTCTCGCTCTTTTCTCTGGAATTCACTTTACTACATTTACCCAAATGTGTTTGTTATTAAATTGGGGCTTTACATTCCTATAAGTAATAAATGAAAATATAATACTCAAAAACAAAACAAAACAAAACAAAATGCCATAAAGGGGGAGTTGACTTTTGGAAAAACTTTGCATGTGACCCCAAGGCAAGAGGAGACCCAGAGATATAGGCTCCGATGAACAGCTTGACTCTACCGAAAGTAAGCCATTGATTTGCTGCGTGTGTGGAATAGGAGCTGACAACTCATTTGCGTCGGACATGCTGGGCTCAGGGAACACAGTAAGGGTGGGGAGGCACTCGGTGGCACTACTCACCCACACACTGGTTGCCTTCATCCATCTGGTAGCCAAAGCGGCATATGAGAGGCCGTGAAATCGTGGGGTAGTTTGGAGCTGAAATTGGCGGGGCAGCCGCTGGGTATGGGCCTGAGTACGGGGTCGAAAAGGAGTTTGAGTAGGGGCCACGGTACACCGGGTTGGTTCGAGGGATGCATAAATAGCCGCCATTCTGGTTAACACACATCATGTCTCCTCGGCAGGCCTCAGGGATGGTCCGGCATTCGTCGACATCTGGAAGAGCCACGGAAAGGACACATGGTAAGCGGTCTCTCGTCCACAGTGTGCCTGGTGTGTATTTAAACAGAGCTTTGGAACCCAGGACTCTAGAGTAACAGCTCCTGCTCCTGACCACCCAAGGGAGTCCTTAGGTCATCGCAAGCAGCTACTCCCCAAGGTGGGTGGAATGACTCCACCGGGCCAGGATCACCCAACCATCAGCCACCCACATTCCACCACCATGATTTGGCCATGTCCACAAAGGCCTGTACGATTTACACAATGCTGGAATGCTTTAAATCAACCCTCCTTTCTTTCAAAGTCAACTCACCCCTGGAACCCAAATCAACTTAAGTATTTGAAAATCTCATAAAATTTTAACATCTCTTATCACGGCAGCAAATGAGAGCCTCTAGCAAATGGCACATAAAGAAGGTAGCGATATGATTCAGGATCTAACTGTTCAAATCAAGCATGTTTATCTGAGAAGATACCATCTAAAAACAGCTCAGGTCCTCTGTATGGACACCCTGCTCCCTGGAGACATGACAATGGACCAGAGATCATGTCCCACATTCACTGTAACTGGTGGCTGTGCAGGGCAGATGGAATGCCTCCCATCAAGAAAGGCGGTGCACACCAGGAGACCAGAAGCACTGGAGGGTGCCCAGCCACCATGACTGAGCATCTTGAACAGAGGTTTTGCAAAAGAATCCTGATCCCAAGAGAGGAGATGCAGGAGAAATTCCAAATTCTCACAGACTCTAGATTTTCTAGTGCTATGGAAGCTGGTTGAATCCCTGAAACTATGACTCTGAGACCATCTTTAAAAAATCTTAGACCCAAATGATCCCCTGATGGCTTCTTAAACCGGGACAAGAATGTAGCTTCACTCGTAAACAAGGTATGCCTTGAACACAAGGTTCTTGTAAGAATACCAAGGGCTCAAGTCAAAAGCAAATGTTTTGAGAATGACGAGGGCAACAAATGTACAAATGTGCTTGACACAATGGATGGATGGGTTGTGATAAGAGTTGTACGAGCCCCCGGCCCCCATGCCAGCTATGTGGACAACTGCCCCT